ACTACAAATGAATCGAGGATGCTTCATGGTTGTGTGACATTAGTGAACGGTAGTGGTCAGTAACCTCCAAAAGCTGATCATCGGACCAACTTTGACATTTCTAGATATTTTTTGAGATGTTCTGTGTGTTGGTTATGTTAAGAGAGACTATCATCGTGAATTAATCAAAATATTCACAAGAGGGACTGAATTCTTTCATGACATTTTTTGTTGAGACATAACTCAACTGAGATGCGATTGATAAAACCATATACTTGAAATGATGACTCTACGGTATTGACGGCGATAAAAAGTACCTTTAGTTGTAGTTCACCATGGAAGACAACTTCGTACCACTTTGTATATTATTCCCTATGAATCGCTAAGTAATATGGCTTATTTTGTAAACTGGTTAGTGACTCCCTTGTATGCACTAAAAATGTTGATGTTGAATCTAGTGTATGAATATAGATTACACAGAGACATTGTATTATCACACCACGACAAGGCAATAGACACTTTTCCAACTGTGAACGTCAAGTAAGATGGAGTGAAATGTCATCTAAATAATACGAATATATCTGAAGGTGGAGGTGGAAAAAACTTTATGTACCAAGCTGTTGGGTATTTGTTGCGTTAGAGTTATCATGAACTCATTTTCTATTTACTAGTCACAGCAACAAGTTTTCCATTTCTGAAAGTGTGCTTCAAATCACAATTAAAAAAGACTCTTCACCACAATCCCCGTGTACAGTCATGGATCACTCTCACGATAATATGCGAATTCTAAACACTTTGTATTTGAACGAAGAATAGTCATTTACGATTTTGAATGAGTATCATTCTCTACAGAATGTTTGGTACTTATGTATCGTGGTAGAAAAGTGTCCACTTCCCTCTCCAGTTCACCGAATGCTGTGGCTGTAATAAAATCATCACCAGTTTTCGGCATCTTGAAGAAGTTTCCTCTTTGGCCATTAGAACAAGGGTGTCTGAGGAAGCACTCAGATGCTTACCAACCATACCATTTAAGTAAGTAATGGTTGAATATGGGGCAAAATTAGAACGATTATTTGTTATTAATACCATAAGAACTCTTTACTGACTGAATACTTTTCTCAACTCTTGGGTTGTGGAATAGAAATCCTGAGAAGTTGTGAAAATACTTCAGGAGACTTCAAAAAAGAAGTAATAACAACAAATGCATAGCATTCGCCGAGATATTGACCACAATAGTGTGCATGAATCCTCTGACAAGTCTCAGTCGATACTGGCCATAGTGTCCACTTAAAAGGTTGATTTTTTGAACTATGACACCTTTCGATCTTTTTCTACTCAACATATATCCGCATTTACCTCCGCCCACCAACATTTGAACCTTGCTTAATACTTCATTTTTTCGAACCCCAAAATGTTCTTAATAAAAAGTTGCAAGAATGGATTTGGGTAATGAAGTGGGAATAATAGAGCGATTATTTAAACACAAATTACTGTGATAAGTAGTCGATGATTCATTTCACCCGGCAAAATAAACAGAAAATCTACGTTTCAGATTAGCTTTCCAACTTTTTAGTATAGCACTGAGTATACATCCAAAATATTGATGAGTTTCTCTGATGAGATCTAGATGATTTACCTGTGATGATGAACAACTGTGGGCACATATTCGACTGTAAAAAATATTGATATCTTAGACAAAGGAAATTCCAAAAATACCAGAGAATTTCCAGAAGCTTGGAACTCAAGTCAATCAGTAATCAACAAGCACATTGAAATCGATCCGATCTACTGACTAATCAGAACAATCATGGACAAATATAGGAGCAAGAATTAAATCAACTGGAGATACGGTCAAAATAACGAAGTAAACAATGATAGGTTAAAGGTCAACAATAATCAATCAAGATCAAGGTCTACAGGACATGCTGTGAGAAATTTAAACATTTCAATTTTACCTGAAAGTTTGTGCTGATGATGTCGTCTAAAATGACGGTGAAAGCTCCACAACCAAATAATCCAACTCAGAGATCAAAACTCTACCAAAAACGATTTACTTGTAAATATTGCGTTGATAAACAGTCTGTAGTATCAACAGATTTTTCATATGATGGATGTTAAGATATGTAGCTAACATGTTAAAATTATTTCGAACTTCTGTATGATAATACGTACTCAGAGCAATATTTCATCACTGAATGCTAGAAGCTGAGTAACGTTCTATGAATTATTCAGGATGGTAAATGAACTTTTGAAGTTTCATGATCTGTAACAATAGTAATTTTCTTTCCCAGTACATACGTATGAAGTCGTTTAACGACCCTAGTTTACTGACTAAAAATTCACAAGGAATTTATGAATATTAGATTTAACTAGCTTTACAAGAAAGAACTCATGTCAGTCAGCTCCTATGAGATTGGCTTAGGTCTTTTATAACTTTACGGAAACATACCGAACACGATAACGGTATGTGCGATTATCAAATCAAAAACGACTAGTGATCCTTCATTTTTTCGAATGTTTCTGAAAAATTTCTAATTAGTGTTTGTTTACATAAAACATTTCCTAGAAATTTTTGAACTTCTAGAAAATATAGTGTGAGACAATTTTAGAATCCCTGGCAACTAGCAGCAAAAATACAAACTAGTCAAATGATCTAAATAGGTTCTGTAAGATTTTTCTGAGATAGTGCGTTTGTAAACGGAACTGGTAGCCTCATATGTGGTCTAAAACCTTTATCGTTACTTAAATATCTAAGACATTCAAAATTAGATACACGTAATGAACACTTACTTGGACTTGAGGGAATATTCTCCCCAACCAGACGGTGCAATAAAATAACAAGTCTCTGATAATGAGCCCCCTTATCAGAACCATGAGTAATGAGATCATCTCGAAGAAATATGACATCTTCAAGATTACCGATTACAATATTCATTTTATGGAAATATGGCTGGAGAACAAATTTAATCAAATGGAAGGTGGTTGTATTTGGATGGACTAATAGGATTAACTTGGAAAATGGTTTTAAGAAACAAAGATGTTTGATGGAAAATTCCATATTTTATATTTGAAAGAAGCACTTGGGAAAATCAGAATGATAATGTAATCGTTTTGTTAACACTACATGTGTTACTGTTCCTTTAGTTATGTGAATTGTATTTGTTTTTTTATTTTTCAGTACACCTTACACCTTCAAATAACAACAGTTAAACTTTCCTGCTTATTTTCTTCTGTCTCTTGTTATTTTCTTGTTTGTGTTAGCTGTGTATGGTGACTAGGTGGGTTGAACATCATCATAGGCTGAAATTTAATTTATAATCCTCATTGCCAAAACACGCGTACTTCTTCGTTTTAATCAAAAATCTAAAAGACTATAATCTACCAAGGCACTTTCTCAATTACAATAATAGGACTACGAGAGTGCTACATGAAATACAGAATGTGACGCGTACTTTTGTTTGATACGCAAACGCTGCTTGCATTCTAAGAAACTACTTTCAGGTTTAACCTACGAATTCACAAAATAATCGCATATTACGTTATGTAGGTTAGTATATAGTCGTCTATCATCTACTAGTATGCAGTGTGATAAGGCCAGAAACTATAGTTCTTTTCTCGAAACGTTCAAATCTTAGTTCCAGATCTGTCTTGTTGTCCAACAGTTGTTTATCTAAAGCTTAATCTACTGAGGATGAAAGGAAATCTCTAAAAAATATGTTCGCAACGGTTTATTTTCCAGTTATGATATCTTCAGCTTCATCAGTTGAATAAAGAATCATTTTATTTCGTTTGTTCAGGATCACTATGCTGGATTTCATTTTCAGTGCACTAAAAGTATACATGTTCTAAAACCGAGACAGTTTGTTTTTCTATTTAACTTGTAAAGACAGCTGTTTTGAATTATAAACAGTATACTGACAGTTTACTGGCAGCAGCTTACAACGAAACATAATAAATATGAAGTTATAATCATATAATGTACACTAAATATGCATCCAGGGACCTAAAAAGCACACAGAACTTCGACATATGTAGTGAATTCCAAACTATGTGTGCAAAATATAAAATATTTCGTACAATCTCCCTCATAAACATTCGTACAGGTTATCTCCATCATTTGCTATTCGTCAACTGATTAATTAAAACCGATTTGTTTCCGTTAACAAGTATGTTTCTCATTTCAGAAATTATCTACAGCTGAGATTGTATATACTTACAGTTGGAATTGTTAAAAATGATTGATTTTTAATTATCTTCTACCTGTTGCTAGATGTCTGAGCGGTTGTTGTCCACTTCACCTTAGAAATTCTTAATACTCTGAAGTCTTCTGATAATTCGCGTTTAATGATTAAGTAACATAACAACACTATTTATATTTGGCAATCGGATCAATAGCTCTTAACTTGTTAAGTGAACTGAGGACATTATATTTATAGCCATCCGCAGGTATGTGGTATTCATCATGACTCTTTAGAAAACAATCGTGTGTGAATACACTTTATTTTTTCGTCACTTTGGTGTATATTAAAAAAGGGAACAATAATGTTAAAAGAATTTAAGTTAAGCTTTTAGGTAACTTGCATAAGGAAGAGAAAAACTTCCAAAATAACTGACCTTCATGAGGTCGCACCTAATAATAAAACAAAAAGCCGTTAAATAAGCGACAAATAGTCAATCATTATTTATAAAAAATGACCTAAATCCCTGTAATCGAGAATTTAAAAGAACAAAAGACTGTGTCCAGTGCAACTGGACTCGTGATCGTATTCAATATCTTTTGAAGTCAAATAATTGATATAGACTTGTTTATAGAAGATAATAAGGCAGGTCCTGATAAAGAAAGTTATATGAAAAGTTCCCTTATGGAATAATGAAGTGATCTTTTCACAAAAACAATTATGTTCCTATTTCCAAACCAAAAATATAGACAACCTCATTTCAACTTGAAAATGTTATACACTGAATATTCTCAAATTTCATTATAAAACAATGTTACTTCACATTATTTCCCTTGGTGAGATTCACCAGATCTTTAGAAATATAAGAATTGTAATTGCAAAAATCAGAATAAATTGAGGTCTACGTGAAAAGAGGGAGATATTTTTCGGCCCCTCATCAACTCGAACTGTTTGAAGTGATTTCTTTTCTAAATTACGATGGTGCTGTCCAGCTATTTGTAAATTTTCATGGTCTTTTTCCCTTCTTGCTTCACGTACGCCTAGTTTTGTTGACGTGATATTTTTCTTTCGATAATTATTTACATTTTTATCTAAGTCTTTATGTGAGTCTGATTGTCGCGTCCATGAATCGGCAACGATATTATCACGGGTCTCAGTATGTTCTACAACTTCATAAGATTCAGTGGTTGTTACAGTTAAGTGATTTTGTTTGGGCGACATATTATGTTTGTCATGAATGTTCATCATTTGTATATTCGATTCATTTTCTGTTGCATCTAAAGTAATATTAAAAAAAATAGGAGTGTTATTGTCGATAATCATTTATATTGCAATTAGATTTAAAGGTTATGCCCATTTCATTATTTATTAATGAGGATATTTTGAAGGTAGTTCTGCCACTATTAGAGTACGAGGTTTGTGGGGTTTGCTTAATTTGAAGTTGAGTTTAGCCACGTACAAATATCACCTAAAGAATGGTTTTAATACAGAGGAACACTAAATAGCAATTTCTCCGGCCAATAATATTTCGTGACAAGGACTTACTACAAATAAAACAATCTCTCTGAACTCTTTATGGAGCAACAAATAACCGTTTCATCATAGGTAGAGATTTCTCGAAGACGACACGGAATAAAAACAAGAAACGTCCTACCTAACTGCATACATGACATTAGAGTATCAATCTAGAATTCATTAGTACATATTTTTAACTTTAGTCGATTCGTTATATTGCGCAACTACCATTCAGTACTGTAGGTTCTCTGTCTTTCTAACGAACAGCATATCTAAATTCTACCAGGTCATAGCTTTTTTTATGCATAATTTAAGAAGTTATTTCTCAAATTTAGTTACATATTATTAAGATAGTTTTCTACAATTCTGGCATAACAGAGAAATAAATGAATTGATGACTTGCTAATATTAGACAACCTATCACAGTACCTGATGGCGTGAAACACACAGTCACCGCATAATCCGACCGTTAGATCGAGAACCAAATGTAGAGCAGAACACGAACTTAGACAGATATTAAACAGTAAGTAGAATCGGAAGTGGAATAAAATTGTTGTTAATTTCACAATATAAGATAGTCTGTCATATTTAGTACAGTTGGATAAGTTTGCAATCCTTGATCAGTTACGGATCAATTAGATTGGTCTATTTAAATCCGTCTCATAGTGAAGGTTACTTCAAAAAATAAATGTATTATTAGATTGATATACCATTAACCATCGCGATTTATTGTTATAATCTAGCTGCTCAAATCAGTCGTGTTATAAAGTGTGACATTAAAGCAGATGTAATATTCAGCTTTGTAAACTATTTGATTGCACAATAAATATAGACAAAATGTAAATGACAATTAGCTTCTAAATCCATATCGGAATATATATGAAATCCTATAACTGATCATTCAAATTCCAGTCTATAATCACATTCAGTACGACAGTTAAAATAAAAATGTATCAAGATGATTTATCAGTGATGAAATTGTGTTATGTTGTGTATTAAGGGAAACAATTACGTAATTATCAAATTAGTATTTCAATTTTGTCACTATTAATTAAAGTTAATCAACATGACGACTATTCTACCATTAGCAATATTCAAATTAGATGTTTCTCTTTTTAAAATTTTAGTTTAGTTTATTTGACCAGAGTATAGATTTATTTCAAATGTGAATAATAAAAACGACAAACATTGTGTAAAATGTCCTTTATTGGAAAACATTTCTTAATTGTTAGTGGTGAGAGAAGTTTTCAAACTTATTAAAATATAATTTTCGGAGCATAGAATGTATAAAGTGTGCAAAATCAATTAGAAATTAAATAATCCTAAATATGCTTGATGATTGATAGAATCCGATTAGTGTAAGGGATTAGACGAGTATAACATTGGCCATCATCTAGTGATTAATCAGTTTACATATTTCAGTCCTATAGAACGTTAGCCCCCAAATAGTTCAAGAATAATGTTCTAGACTTTGAGACTGTGTGATTTGGGTTCGAGTCTCATAGACAGCATCAATCAATCCGAGCTAGAATGGAACCTAGGTTCTGGGTTTTGTCCAAATTGCCTCCAAATACTTAACGCTAAGCGTCCTAATTACACTTGATATTCAGTAATTTTTTTAATTGACGTCAATGTCTGATATATATTTTTTATAAATTGTAATTAAACTAGAAAAAACTTGCATGTTAGATCATCTTCTACTGTTTGATCATCAAATGATTCCAGTGTTGACGTATCATATTCATCTTCTTCATTTTCTGTATAATCAGTATTCGTATTCAAATAATTGACTGAATAACTATTTTCTTCATTATGGGTGCTAGTTTCTTTCATTTCAGTATATTGTTCATCTTCACCCTTATATGAATCTGCATGATGTAGAGTTTCTGATTTTCCTCTTTCTCTTTTATCATCTAATTCATTTTTTTCATGTTGATAGTATTGTTGAAGTAATTCTGTTTCATGAAGATTATTCTGTGCTTTTAATCCCACTTCATTCTTTTCATTTTTCAATTCTTTAATTTGATCTTTATATTGTTGAGTTGTATATTGTTCATTTACTTCATATCCTTTTATTTCTAAAAAATGTTGACTAGATTGTTGTTCAGTAGTAAACTCTATATTGTTTGTAACAAGCATAGTTGAATAAGTTGTCATTGGCGTAGTATTTAAATTTAAATTCATATTGAATAATTTCGTATTTTTTGTTATTCTAATAAACATTTGTGTAATATTTACATGTAAATAACCCGCTTTTTCTCTACCCATATTATTCCATTCTAAACGAATAAATTTTAATTTATCCATTGGATAATTATTTTGACAAAATAAATAATATTTATTTAAATGTGATACAATAAGTGAATTAATTTCACCGCAAAGAATTGCCTCATTATTCTTATCCATTGAATAAATTTTCAATGTATCTATGATTAATGAAATGAAATAAATTGTAATAAATAAAAGGAATGAAATGAATCATTATAGTTTGTGTATAGTAAATAAGAAAACGATTCAAATGATTAAATTGTAATTTTAATGGTTAAGATTATGAGTCAATTAAAGCTAGACCATCATGGAAAATACTGGAAGCACTGAACGGCTGTTTCATCCTCAACAGTGAGCATCCACGAACCCGTTTGGCGAGATTCGAACTTAAGACCTACTAGTATCGCGCGCGAGCGCTTAACCACTAGACCACTGAGCCGGCTGACATTCAACTGTGTTAATATCTAAATTAAACTAATCCATGAAATTGAGTGACATATCCACCATTGTCATCAGTGAGTTACCATCTTACCCGGTTAAACTTCACTGGTCACTGCTTCTCATATACATGATAATTTATCATAAAAAACTATGTTTTTTATGACATGCATGAATTACAAAATGATTAGGTCAACTTAATGACCATGAATTAAATTCTACCCTCAAGAAACATTTAATATCAAATTATGTGTCAAGCTGTAAAGTAACTGCTTCCCACGAGAACTCCAGGATATACATCTTAAAGAATAAAATGTAGTCAATAAGTATATCATCCATTTTAAATTGTTGAAGCTTTCACTTCTATTAAAAATTTTGATCTGTAGACCAAAATGAGATCTAATTCCATAGACTAGTGTTTAATTATTTGATCCCATTTTGAAATTTCACAACTGAATGTATATAGATCTTAGTGTTAATTTTTAGAATGGGATATATTACAAATTGAATAAATCAGTGATTGTCTGAACTCAATAGCTTAGTGAATGGCACATTATAGTTTAAGGTGACAGGTATTAGGTTTGAACTCCGCCTGTAGCTCTTCCAGAGTTACTGCCGGTCCCAAGCCCGGGTAAAGGAGGAGGGTTGGGCATGGGGTTAGCGTCCCCATCCCGTAGAAACCTAACTCGCTAAAAAAACGCTAACCAGAAAAAATAACTCAAACCATTTAAACCCTGCCCTGGGAGTTAGAAGGTCTTCATTTAGAAGAAATATGACGCTTCATGGTGAAAGCCGAGTTCCTTCGGAAGCCACGAGGCCGATGCCCCTTCTAACAACCAGAGCAACAATTTTTATAGGTACATGGAACGTCCGGACAATGTGGGAGAACGGGAAGACCAGTCAAATAGCAACGGAAATGAGGAGATACAACTTGGCAGTACTGGGAATCAGTGAAACCCATTGGACCCAAGCTGGACAACAAAGGCTAAATACGGGAGAGATGCTGCTTTACTCCGGTCACGAAGAGGAAAATGCTCCACACACTCAGGGAGTTGCTCTAATGCTATCCAAAGTAGCACGAAATGCACTTGTAGGATGGGAATCTCATGGATCCAGAATCATCAAAGCATCATTCAAAACAAAGAAGGAGGGGATCACAATGAACATTATCCAATGTTATGCACCCACCAATGATAGCAACGACGACGTTAAAGATCAATTCTATGAGAGGCTGCAACCAATCATAGAGAAGTGCCCAAGAAAGGACCTCACCATTCTGATGGGAGATCTAAACGCCAAAGTCGGAATGGACATCACCGGATATGAAGACATCATGGGACTGCATGGACTGGGAGAGAGAAACGAAAACGGGGAAATATTTGTAAATCTGTGTGCACTCAACAAGTTGGTCATAGGCAGCACAATACTTCCACACAAACGTATACACAAAGCTACATGGATCTCACCGGACTACACCACAGAGAATCAGATAGATCATATTTGCATCAATGAAAAGTCCCAAGGGACAATGAAAGATGTGAAAACCAGGAGAGGAGCGGACATAGCTTCAGATCATCACCTGGTTGTGGCCAAATTGAAACTGAAGCTAAAGAAGAACTGGACAACTGGACAAACAGCACCACAAAGGTTCAATACAGCCTTCCTTCGAGATACTGACAAACTCAATGAATTCAAGGTAGCTCTCAACAACAGGTTCCAAGCCTTACAGGATCTACTGAAGGAAGAAGAAACTACTATGGAGGATAGCTGGAAAGGTATCAAAGAAACATTAACTTCAACGTGTCAAGAGGTTCTGGGCCCCAAGAAGCATCATCACAAGGAATGGATCTCTACAGAAACACTGGACAGGATCAAAGAAAGGAGGAACAAGAAGACAGCAATTAACAACAGTCGAACAAGAGCAGAGAAAGTCCAATCACAAGCAGAGTACATAGAAGCAAACAAGAAAGTGAAGAAGAGCATTAGAGCTGATAAGCAAAAATACGTGGAAGAACTAGCAACGACGGCGGAAAAAGCTGCAAGAGAAGGAAATATGAGACAGCTTTACGATACGACGAAGAAGCTTGCAGGGAAATACAGTAAACCAGAGAGACCAGTCAAAGACAAAGAAGGAAGACCAATCACTGAGATTCAACAACAGCGCAACAGATGGGCAGAGTACTTCGAGGAACTCCTGAACAGACCGGCTCCAATGAATCCACCGGACATCGAAGCAGCACACACAGATCTTCCTATAAATGTCAATCCACCAACGACAGAAGAAATCAGAATGGCCGTCAGACAAATCAAGAGCGGGAAAGCAGCAGGACCTGACAATATACCAGCTGAAGCGTTGAAGTCAGACATCGAAGTAACTACAAGCATGCTTCATCTTCTATTCAAGAAGATTTGGGAGGAGGAACAAGTGCCGATGGATTGGAAAGAAGGACACCTCATCAAGATTCCAAAGAAAGGAGATCTGAGCAAGTGTGAAAACTACAGAGGCATTACACTACTGTCAATACCGGGTCAAGTCTTCAACAGAGTGTTACTGAACAGGATGAAAGACGCAGTTGACGCTCAACTTCGAGATCAACAAGCTGGATTCCGTAAGGACCGGTCGTGCACAGACCAGATTGCGACACTACGGATCATCGTCGAACAATCAATTGAGTGGAACTCGTCACTCTACATCAACTTCATTGATTATGAGAAGGCATTTGACAGTGTAGATAGGAGGACGTTATGGAAACTTCTTCGACACTACGGAGTTCCTGAGAAGATTGTCAACATTATCCGGAACTCATACGATGGACTACAGTGCAAAGTAGTGCATGGAGGACAGCTGACAGACGCATTCCAAGTAAGGACCGGAGTAAGACAAGGCTGTCTACTCTCTCCCTTCCTGTTTCTTCTGGTGGTCGACTGGATTATGAAGACCTCGACATTTGAGAGAAACTACGGCATACGATGGACAGCTCAGAACCAATTAGACGACTTGGACTTCGCAGATGACCTAGCCCTCCTACCACATACACACGAACAAATGAAGATAAAGACAGCCAGCATAGCAGCAGTCTCTGCATCAGTAGGCCTCAACATACACAAAGGGAAAATCAAGGTCCTCAAACATAACACGGAGAACAGCAATCCAATCACTCTTGATGGCGAAACTCTGGAAGACGTGGAATCCTTCACATACCTGGGAAGCATCGTCGATAAACAAGGAGGTTCAGATGCAGACGTCAAGGCGAGGATTGGCAAAGCTAGAGCGGCATTCCTTCAACTGAAGAACATATGGAACTCAAAACAACTTTCAACCAATATCAAAGTCAGAATCTTCAATACGAACGTCAAGGCAGTTCTACTGTACGGAGCTGAAACTTGGAGAACTACAACAACCACCATCAAGAAGGTACAGGTATTTATTAATAGCTGTCTACGCATGATACTCAACATCCATTGGCCGGATACCATCAGCAACAGCCTTTTGTGGGAGAGAACCAACCAGCTTCCAGCTGAAGAGGAAATTAGGAAAAGACGATGGAAATGGATAGGACATACATTGAGGAAATCATCAAACTGCATTACGAGACAAGCGCTAACTTGGAATCCTGAAGGGAAGCGGAAAAGAGGAAGGCCAAAGAACACATTACGTCGGGAAATAGAAGCAGATATGAAAAAGATGAATAAGAACTGGAAAGAGCTTGAAAGGATTGCCCAGGACAGGGTTGGATGGAGAATGCTGGTGAGCGGCCTATGCTCCTTCACGAGGAGTAACAGGCGTAAGTGAAGTGAAGTAAGTGAAGTATTAGGTTTGAGTTTTAGTGTGAGTATCAAGACTATGATGAAAAGTTCAAGACAAGACACTTGAGTATTTTAGAGTTCATTTGTTGCTAAAATTCAGATATACTAAAGCTTGTAACTGAAAGTTAGTATTGAGACAATACTCTCAAGAGTAATTAAAAGGTTAATCATGAGTATCGGTAACAGTAACCATTGCAGATATCTGATCTCATTGTTAGAAAACATGACTATGAATAATAGAAAACAAGTATAGGTTTCCTTTAACCAGAAAAACATATCTTGTTGGTACGTGACTAACATTTTAGAACATCTTTTATTTTACTACTCATGACGTAATCTTCAATTGTTAATCTGGAATGTCAGTTGTTTATTCACTGTTCAAGAAAGTAAGCTATTGAAATAGTAATAAGGCAGTATTAAATTACAATGTAGTTTGCGACAACAGATTTTAAAATATTGATGTCCTTTACGTATCTTGGATAGTATTCATAACAAGCACTTTGGGGGGTCATAATATTAATAATTTCACATCGACAAATGTATACGTATGTTAACCCCAAATTTGTGGTTATGGCTTTATCTGAACGAAGCCTGATTTGTTTTCTTTATCAAATTATTTGAGTATATGGTTTCATTTAGTAAGTTGTTTCCTGGTCTGTTTGCCAATAGGTCAGTTTTCATGGACATGTATATTCTTTTGTAGTATACTAATACATATACACTTAAACTTACTGCTTATCGAATAATACAAAGAATATAGAACAGAATTGTTACACAAGTGAATGTATTATGTGTTGAAATAACGAGATTTCAAAGATCAATGATCACGAACCTTCTGTGTGTCTTTTATTAATAATTTTAACAGTCTACTGATTTTATACTACTGTCAATATTATGAAACGACTAAAGAAAACACAAAGCAATGAAATGACTCAGATAACTTATCTGTAACCTTGTTCATTCAACGACCAGCTAGTTTTTTCTTACTGTTTAAAGTTTTTTCTGTTCATTATTATTATAAAATCCATTTGGTCATTTGACAAATAATAACATCATAAGAAAATTCGTAAAGAATAATAATATTGAACTCTTATGCAGTATGAATAGTTTTAAGGGAAATCTTAACATATTTCATGCTACTTGATCGAATTATATTCTTTCACAGTTACATATGTAAATGACAGGATGAAGAGTGATATGTCTATTAAATTGTACAGTGTAAAACTTGATTGATTTGTGGAAATCTCAGTGTGAAATTTCATATTTAATTGTTGTTTACAAGTTTATTATTTCATTAAATATACAAAACGAATTTTGATTCCTTTTCGAAGTTTGTCGGATATTCTGTATGTTGTTTTCTTATGTAATATAATTGTTATTATAGTGTTATGAAGAACTGTGTTGAATACTGAGTTTTATATCACTGACTGACTCTGGTTAAACGACCATTGAAAATCAAAAAAGACTATCTAGTTACTTTGTCCTAGTGTGAGACTCATCAGTTGTGTCTATCCACAACGTGAAGAAAGAGTGAACTTAGGACATTTAGACACCGTAGCTGCTGTCTAATCATGTCCGTCTGTTATGTGAGACCACATTATCTGTTAGATGAAACTAAGGGTACAAATCCACATTGTATAAAATTGCCTTAAAGCCGGTAAACAAACTGAAGAAAGAAGTGAGTTTTTTAGTCTGTTTCAACCAACTCTCATGACTCTATAAAAGTCAATATCGATCAAATGGTTATGAGTAAACGGTATTTATGGATTTAGAATAATTTATGAAACTTTAGATTGTAATGAATAGAGATCGACAGTTTATTTATTAAATAATTTTAAAGGTTATGTTAATGAATCATAGTTTTATTCACAGTGTGAACAATAACATTAGGGTCCACTGATATTCACCTGATTAATCCCAAATTGGATGAAACACATGTCCTGTTTTCTAACGATGCCAAATTGAGACATAATGCTGTATCAAACCAATTTATTCAAGAAACTCATATGGCAACAAAGACTAAACATCAACTATGAAGAACTATGAACCATTATAAATAGTATACTTATGACAGTTTAGGTTCTTTGTTTATACTGTTTTTTTTGTTAAGGGGTTTTAAAATATCCCAAATGCTGACTTTAACAAATCGAATCTACTTCACAGTTATAGTTTTTCCCAATAATATTTATTCTATAACTTGTTTGTCGTAAAACTATCTCAAGTGTATTGCTTTCGATAGGAATTCTTATGTTCTTTGGAGGAAATTGTATTCAAACAAACTTATTTAGTAACATTTTTGTATTATGCAATATTGACTCATAATTTTTGCTGAAAATTACCCAAGGCAAAATAATAGAATTTTTTAAAAGTAAAGTTGTGATAGTGATTAACACAGAAATCCAGGACGTGAATTTTATCCTGTTTACGACTTGTCAGCTTAATGTATTAACATCCCAGAGTTGATATTTATATTCAAACTGGAATTCAGTAACTTTCACTTCAAAAGTCTAACGCATTGTCCATTTAGCTATAGATTTCAGAAAGTCACTGGGTTATTCAACGGGTTGAAGTTTAATTTCGATTTTAAGAATTTGAATCTTTCTATTGTTAATGTAAAGGACTGAATTTTAATTATTTTCTCTTTTAGCATATTTTCATGCTGAAAAAATTTTCTTCATAGTGTAATTAGATCACGACATTTTATAGGCTTAGTTTTGATAGTGGATAGTACTGAAAATCGAAAGAGAATAAGTTGATTAATCACAGTTCATAATATCAACAATTAGAAGATCTAAACCCTAACAGATGAGAATCATAAAATATCTGGATTATTTTTAGTACAAAGTTATTGAAGAAGTTTAATAAAAAAACAACTCATTTATTAGAAAATTAATGTATGAACGAAGAATATTCTTCTCGATATATTCTCTTCAGCTTCTATAATTATATATCCAAATTCATTATCCGAAAAATGGCCAGGTTTATGGCGAAGTACACCATTATTTCTCTTACCCTATCTGACTCATATTTATTCGGATCATAGATCTTGAAATCTCACTTGACATATAAGCTGATTAAAGTTAACATTTTATATTAGTCGTATCAACATTAATAATTTTATTCTATTTTAACAGTCCTAAACTTTAAACAATGCACTTTGCCCTAAACTTGGCCACTTTTCGAATTATTAATTTGGATATATAATTGTAGAACCTGAAGAGAATTTATCGATATGAATATGCTCCGTTCATATATTAGTATTTTAATATAATGGGGATCTTTAATCAATTATTAGGATGAAAAAACAACTGAGATTAGTTTCGTTGAAACAAAATGGTACTTGACAAAAATGTTGTTTAGCTCAATCATAATTTATTTTTCATGTACTGATTTCTGTGATGAAATATATTGACAATTTTCGGTTATGTAATTGAATTGTATTATGTTTCATAAGCTAGATGGCTTATTTGAAAAGCTTTCATTATCATTCTGGCTATTACCAGCAGTTCAAAGAACCCCTAGTTTGGAAGTTAGTGATACTAATAAATTCTTTAACTATAAATGATAGGAGCGGAATCCAAAGTATCATTTATTGTATGTATTCCGGTTAAAAATTAATATATACTTTTCTTCATATGTAAAATTCATTACAGAATAACATAGTTTAATGTTAGATTAATCAAAACACATACCGCAAACTGCTTTACTACAATATAAATAACCATTCATTTGAATGGAAAATAATAATTCATTATTTAATTCATTTGATTGTTCAGCTTTAATCTTTTGTAAATTCGATGGAATTTCCCATAATGAGAATTTATTCTCACTTTGTAAGTCATTTGATTCATTGTTCGAATTAGAGATTGAGATTATAGTGTCATTTTCTTCAGACTGTTTAACTTGATGTAATTCTTCTAATCTACCTGAGTGTCCAGAAAAAATAATTAGAAATATATATATGGAATAAATGCTAATTTTAGGGGAATTTTATAATGTGATATTCGATGAAAAAAGTAACTAAAGGTATATTTGATTTCATAAAATGAAACATCACCAGTATAGAAGACATATTTTATTGTACATTAAAAGATTTTAATAAAACAGTTTCTAGTGGGAAGACATTCTACTTACTTACTTACTTACTTACGCCTATTACTCCGGATGGAGCATAGGCCTCCTACCAGCATTCTTCAACCCACTCTGTCCTGGACCTTCCTTTCTAGTTTCATCCAATTGTTGTTCATTCTTCTCATGTCTGTCTCTGTTTCTCGACGTAATGTGTCCTTTGATCTTCCTCATCTCATTTGGCATTGAGGGTTCCAGGTGAGGGCTTGCCTTGTGACGCAGTTGGATGCTTTCCTCAATGTGTGTCCTATCCACTTCTAGCGCTTCTTCGTGATTTCTCCCTCCGCTGGAATTTGGTTTGTTCTCTCCTACAGTAGGTTGTTGCCAGTAGTGTATGGTCAACGGATCCGAAGTATTTTGTGTAGACAACTGTCAATAAACACCTAAATCTTCTGGATAATAGCTTTCGTAGTTCTTCAAGTTTCTACCCTATACAGTAGAGCTATCTTGACATTTATATTGAAAATTCTGACTTTGGTGTTGTTTGACAGTTGTTTTGAGTTCCAGTTGTTCTGCAGTTGTAGATAAGCTGCTCTTGCTTTGCCAATCTGCATCAGATCCACCGTGTTCATAAATGGTGCTGCCCAGATATGTGAAGGAACTAAATTATTTTATTACTGTATTAATTATATTCATCGTGAAATTATACTTATTCAATAATAAACATAAATTCATCAACTTACCTAATTGACATTTGTTTAATTCAATCATACAATTCTCTGATTCACAATTTACTAAAGAATCATGTGAAACTGGATTCCTCTCATCTGGAATGACACTGGTATAATCTTCTGAAAGTATAACATCACGTATTTGTTCACAGACTCCAGTATGTCTTATTTTTCTATAGCGTATAGCTTGACAATTTTTATTGACTGAACATCCAGCACGACAAGCTGATTTTGATAAATGACGTATAAAACTAAATGGTTGACCTGATAAACTAGGCCATATTTGTTGTTCTTCTGTTGAATACTGTATGAAACACTCTTCATAGGCTAAAGTATCATAAAACAGAAAATTTGTTGTTGTCAGAATGTATACCAATTTATTAGGTTTTAGAACCTATTTTAATTTGTCCCATTGAAAATTTACTTCTAATAATAAGTGTTTAGTGTTGGAAATTTTGATTGGTCATTAAGTATTTTTCTAACACATTATCTCATATTCAAGATTGTTCAAATGAATTCATTAGCAATTATATGTTAGTTATTTTAAAATCCATTTTCAATTGAAACATCATCCTCTACTCGTTTTATTGGTTCACTTCACCATCGGACCAATTATTGAACAGAAGTCTAAATGTATTAAATGCTTTGTGATAATTGTTCACCATATCTTTTATAAATAAATCTGTGTTGACTTGAAAATTCAAAACAATGAAGTACATTTTAAAAACAAAATTTGTAGATTGGTATGAGATATAACATATTTGTGTATTATACTTCATACAATCCAGTTAGACATTAACATGTCAAAGGAAAATGAATTAAAATCAAGGGCTTACATTGTTAAAGAGTTCTATACTTAGAACTTACTGAATAGTTCTCCTTACTTCCCTGATGATATAACTCAACTAAAGTCAATTCATGTTTATTATCAACTATAAATTAAAATAGTCTACACAAAACACTACTTTTTGAAATGAGATCAAATGCATAAAACTTTTGGTAACTTTACATGATTCTCAGTTTTATTTTACAGTTTCCTCAACATTTATTAAAATATGTATGCTATCAGGAATAGAGAAATATCAAAGAATGAATATAGGATTTTGAATTTTATCGTTTATGGATCAACTTTCAAATGTTTGACACCCCAAAATAGTTTACATGAAAGATTTCACTATATAAACACAACTAATGAGGAAGAATATATTTGTAAAATTTTAGCGAATGGATTCTTCCTCTTTAATGCCTCATAACAACTTGGCGCCCAAATACTGTGAAACTATTCGATCAAATTTAGGACCAAAGTTTATATATATATATATATATATATATATATATATATATATATCCGCAACTGTTTTGACATAGTTCAATTTATACCTTTATAAAGTATTCCACCAATAACAGAGTGAACAATCGAATTAATTAGTAAATAGATAAATTTTGAAAACATCTTTCCCACATTTTAATTAACCTTTGACTATAGTCATCAAATCGAAAATGAAATCACAGAAAAATAAATTATCATCTTTAGGAAATTTAAAAGCTTTGGCGCAACACTGTAGTTAATTTTAGCTTCATAGTGGTGTACAAAATGAGGTTATGGAAACGTACAAGAAGACTTTGGATGTTTTAAGTAAAGCATTCAGTAGTAATATTCAATCTGCTTTTGTTTACCGTATATAATCAAGGATATTTTACTTAAATATAAAGCTTAACAAACCCTCAGGTAAATAACTAGTTATGTTTGAGTAGTTTGTAAAGGATAGCTAATTTTCAAGATAATGATGATGGTAGACTGAAATAGAATCATTACTCGAAAATCCAAATAGCATCGTACTCACTAAGAAACTTGAAAATCTTAGGTACAATACCATCAATACACCTTAAACCAAAACCAAACAACTATATTGATGCGTTTTGATTTTCAAAAGCTGATTAAATCTGTGATAAAAATAGTCGTTAAACTAATCATTAGATTTAAGTTACATCCTGTAGGCCTCAGCATACACCATGGAAAAAGCAAGATCCTCAAATACAACATAGAGAGCACCAGCCCAATCACACTTGACAGAGGAACTCTGGAAGAGGTGGAAACTTTCACATACCTGGGAAGCTTCATCGATGAACAAGGAGGATTCGATGAAGACGTAAAGGCAAGCGTTTGCAAAGCAAGGGCACTATTCCTACAGTTGAGGGACATATGGAACTCGAAGCAACTGTCACCCAATATTAAAGTCAGAATCTTCAATATGAACGTCAAGACAGTTCTACTGTACGTGCTGAAAATTCGACAATTACCGCAACCATCCTCAAAAAGGTACAAGTATTTCTAAACAATTGTTTACGTCAGATACTGAATTTCCGTTGGCCGGATACGATCAACAACAGTTTACTGTGACATAGAACCGATCAGCTTCCAACTGAAGAGGAAATTAAGAAAAGACGTTGAAAGTGGATAGGACATACATTGTGGAAGCCATCAAACTGCATCACGAAGCAAGCGCTAGCTTGGAATCCTGTAGAGAAATGGGGAAGAGGAAGGCCAAAGAACGCGCTGAGTCAGGAATTGGAAGCAGACATGAAAAGAATGAATAGCAACTGGAAACAACTGGAAAGGATTGCCCAGGACAGAGTTGAACGAAGAATACTGGTGGGCGACTTATGCTCCTCCACATGGGGTAACAGGCATAAGTAAGTAAATAAGTAAACCGTGTATCCTGAGGGTCGACTCAGATCGATATGATTGTTACTACATGATAGGGTTGGCACAACAACAATTATTATTGTCATGCAGTTGGTTCGTATTCTTGTAAGCTTCCCTGTTTCGTACTTTATTGTAAAGCTCGGTTTTATTTTACCCTATTCCTATGGTGTTGCTAACACAAGAATATGGTTGCTGTATAGGTTGCTCTGTCTGTCTTATGAAGTTGAACCTGCTCTTGATCGTAAGTATATTTCATCCAAATTTTGAGAGTTAACATGTTTAAATAGTAACTCATTCTATAGGTAAATTAAAATCCTATATAACAGGCATTTTACTACTTAAAATAGAATGGTTAGTATACTGAAAGAGATCAAAAACGATTTTAAGATAAAGTTGATGCATATTAGATGGGTAGAAGAGGTCTACAAGAGACTGTGAAACTAAGTTTCGTGCTAACTGACATTCACTGATAATTGTGTGTTTAAAATCTTGTAGGACTAGTGATCACACTGTAACTCGATAGATGGGATTTGATCAGGAACTAAGGACTAGATAAATATAATATTTTTCAAAAACTAGTGATCAAACAACATGATTTATCCATGAAAAAATTGAATAACTACTAATAAAATAACCACAAAAACATTTTTTAACCAACCTTTCTTTACATAAACACTGACAAGGCAAATTTCCAACTCATCTGTTCTACGTAATGCTAACCACTTTGCATCCATTTCTTGTGGACATTCTATTGTAGCAGCACGAGTACCAGCTGTAATATTACCTGTCGACTGACAAAATTTAATGCCTTTTGAATTCCACATAATATCTTTTGGTGTTCTTTGATTTGTTTGTCTTAGTGATGCTAACATTTCATCGGTTTCCAATGATTCACCACTTTGTATAAGAAACACATCAATATTTGAGAGTTTTGTAGCTTTAAAAATAAAATATTTATTGGAAATGAAGGAATGATAACGGTCAATATATTATTAGACTAAATACAATAAAGATATACAGATAGCAAGACAACATTATTCCTATCAATTTTGTGATATCAACTTGCAAATCATCCAAAAAAGAATTACTGTACGGAAATAAAGATAATGAATGTCTGTAATTGAAAATGATCTAATATTACATACATGGAGGACTTAGAATAAATAAATATGAAGGCGATAACTGATGAGAGGACATCATAATTCATGTATGTTAGTGCCATTTGTATTGTATTGTATCTTGTAGGTACAAAAAGGCTTCTTATATACTGGATCTTCTCAAAAAAGCATACTTCAGCATACGATGTACAATACGGTATGAACATAGTAACATTTTTCACTTTTTGGATCTTATTGTTCGACGTATTATTATTAAATATCTCTTCATCAAAAGGATACTTAGAATAGATTTCATCCTAATCTCAGTAGTTTATGTTGATAATCGGAAAAATGGCATTTAATTAGAACTTTGTTCAATCGTATTTAAAACTTATTTTCAGCCCATAAAATTAAAGCAAAATTAACAATAACTAAAATTGTATGAGGAATGATGGTTATTGGTAAGTGTAATAAGGAAGGAACAAGAACAGTGATGAAATAGTTGACAACATTAATTTTATACTAATAGCTATATTGAAACGGGCTTATTTAACTAATAGACTAATCTTCTCATGTACAACAAACTGCCAATCGGCTCAAAATTGTGTGATACTTCTACGAAGATTAAAACAAATTACTTGATGTGACGGTTAATGGTGAACAATTTTGCGGCTCATAATTACTCAAAATTTATATACTAATGTCATTCTTTATTAATTTTGATGTAATCAGTTTTCAGTAGTTAGTTGGCTAACATTTTATTCCATGCTCTCGATTATTAATCCATATTATCCATAATCCATATTATTATGACCAGAGACGGATTGCGGCTGCCAGTTGAATCAAAAACGTGCGTTTCGTCCTATTCGGGACTTGTCAGCTGGACGTTCCTGAATCCGGAGTTGATGTTTACTCCGGGACTCGATCACAGCACCGTTCGCCTTACTTACCATCACGATATCCACTAGCTACTGAGTTCAGATAACCACTAGCTTGCGCACTGGGTTGAAGTTTAATTCATTTTGGTTATTGGTTGTTTGAATCTTCCCATTTGTGATTAGGACTGCAATTGACCAGTCTCAGTAGATCAAGACTAGTAGGTAAGTCGATGACATGATGATTTTAGAAGGGAACTGAACTGCTATCGAGTCCTGGGGATGCAAGCACATCCAGCTTACCAGTTCCAAATAGGACAAAACGCGTGTCTTGGATCCCACTACTACTAGCCACCATCTATTTCTGCTTATATTGATTGTGACCTACGGCAATATCGAGGCAATCTGCACAGGATAAACATGTGCCGATAAGGGACGGATCAATTTTAGTCTTAAACATTAATAGGAAGATTCAAACGAACAACACAAAAATAACTTGCTTGTTATTGTTTACCATTTGGTAACGGTTAAATAACCATAAAATGTAAAACTTGCAGTTTCGATTATGTACTTATCTTAAAAGTCACTAGGAGATAGTAATGTCAAAACTATTGCTTATGAAGGTAAGAAAATTGTAATAATATTGTAAGTCGATATCCTCAGCAAATATGGATATCACATCCGGACTTGTGATATTTATGTACATTTACAATTTTTCGTTTTTAATTGAAGTAGTTAAATGTTTGTTGTATATGAAATTTAATATAAACTGTTTAATTCATGTGTAAAAATAAATAACTACTATCTATTGAAATGTAATAAAGACATTAATAATGGAACATATAACATGCACATAGTTTCATGAATTCGAAGAATGAACAACCTTAAAAGGTATGTGATTTGGTTTAAATTTTTTAACCAGACTTTGTTGCATCAGTCATTCACATGTCCATTAACCCAAGTCGTAGTATTTCACATAAACATTATTATAAGATTAATACAAAGGGTTTATCGAGATGATTACATTTCAAAATTTACGTCAGGAGCTGACAGTAGGACAGTCACTAAAAACCAGGAAGTACTGGACAGTTGTTTCATCTTAGTATGGGACTCCTCAACAGTGAGGATCCACGACACCATTTCAGCTCTCGTTGCGAGCGCTTAATGTTAGACCGATTAGTTGGTATTCAATAGTTCGCAAATCGAAATTCAAATAATTCTCCATATTGTGCAGTCATCTTCCATTTTCAGTGGTGCATAATGTTCCCACACTTAATAAGGTTGAACGCGAATGGTCACGGCTTCTCACTAGACCTCAGGCAATAATCTATCGTTTATTTTATCGCCTATCAAACCCATGATTAGTATTATCATTAAGGCTTAGTGCAGACTGCTGAAATTTCCATTTTCATCGACGATAAGAAATTGACAAGTGAAAAATCTAATGAGTCAAGTCAATATTATCAATGATAGTAAAGATGCTTTGAGGTAATGAATGAAATTTAGAATTAAAAAAATTGATTTATTATTAAAGCTTATTATATAAAGGAAGGAATGAGAAATGAACATACATAATCTGCAGCGACCAATTTCCGTCATGACACATTTTAAATGTTTACCTATTGATTACGACTGTTAACTGTACTGTACACCCAGGAAGTATGTAACTACCGAGATATCTGTTTCAAGTTAGTAAACAAATAGAAAGATGCATGTTTTCGTAGAACTTATCAATTCTTAGTGCAATTAATGAGGTTTCACAAATTTTTCATTATAATACAAATTAAATATATATGCAGAGTTTAATGAGACAGCCTTATATAGTCCGAGTTTATTTTTTATACCTCACATGCTATCATGAAATCATTTAACTGAAATATATTACACCTCATAGTTTACAAGTAAGTTTGTTCAGAAACGGTAGGTTTTCGATTGCTTGCTTAATAGTAGCATAAACATATTCATAGATGATGTGAAAAATTATTTAACTAAATTTCTTAGCGTATTACTACTATTACATCATAATCATCATCATCATCATCATCATCATCATCATCATCAGGTGTCTGAAAATCGGTGTCAAACATAATTATGTTAATTCTTTTGTAGTTTGTGCTTACATTTTTTGTGTACATCTTTTACGATTATAGTTATCGGACGTAAAAATTAAATTTGGGTGGTCTACAGACATTTAACACCAGGATATATTGTCTTTATTCAAGTTATTAAAAAAGAAAAAACAAACATATGGGCATGTGCGCATCAATTCAATTCGTAGCATACAATTATAGGTTATGTTTTAACAAAAATAATATAGAAATCCATTTTGAAACGTTTACTTGCGCAAACAGAACTTTGAAAATCTCTTCAGAAATTTTCATTGAACATTTAATGTTCTAAATGAACTTATCACCAGTTAGTTATAAAATCACATGCTGTGAATGCAATCCAGTATTATTAATCAGAAAATATTTTAAACTGAATGACTGATTTATATAATTAGCACATTTACACAAACTGATAGTAGTTGAATTCATAATCTACTGAAGTCTTATATATATATATATATATATATATATATATATATATATATATATATATATATATATATAGCGTTTTTGTAATGAAACTCCTCCTCTAGCACTTCTAATCTCAGACCCAGATAAAAGGGCAGGGTTGGGCATGGAAGTAGCAACTTTGTGGCAAAGAAAACATCGTTGCGAAAAAAACGAGAACCAAAAATAATTATCGTAACCGTTTAAACTCTGCCCCAACATTTGAAGGGTTTTCATTCAGTAGAGTTTTGACGCCTTATGATGAATGCCAAGATTCCTCAGAAACCACGAAGTCGATACTTATTTTGACTAATAGAGAAATAATTAGCACAGGTACGTAGAAAGTCCACACAATGTGGGAGACCGAAAGGACCATTTGCACCAATAAAATGTTCAGAAGGTCCTATAGGACACATGAGAACATAAAGAGGAGCTGACATACCTTCACATAACCATCTGGTGGTTGCCAAGATGAAACTGAAACCAAACATGTACTGGAAAACTAATGAGTCAGCACCACAAACGTTTAATTCTTACTTCTTTGAGGTACTGACAAACTCAATAAATTCAAGACAACTATCAGCAACAGCTTCCAAGCTTTCAAAGATCTACTCAAACACAACTTTGTCTCAACAAACACAAAGGAATAAGCAATTTCCTGAAATACAACACTGTGAACACAAACCAAATCACACTTGATAGATGGAGAAGCTCTGAAGGAGGTAGGGACCTTCACGTAGCTATGCAACATCGTTGACAAACAAGGATGACCATATGCAGATGTGAAGGAACAGATAAGGGTTTTGTATCTCAAATAAAGTAAATCTAACCTTAATTATGCAGTGATCAAATCAAGCTGTAGGTTGACTTATATACCCCAAAAAGCAAACTATAAAATTCGTCAAACATTATTTTTTATACAAATAATTTTTTGGTAATAATGATGGTTTAATTTACCGAAATATTTATGAAATGGATTTGGTGCAAGTCGTATTTCTTTTATATGGTGTAAATGTATACCAAAATCAATTATTAACCAATGATAACCGTTTAAATCAGGTTGTGCAGGATCAGTCTGAAAGCATGTTGGTTGCATATGCATAAAATCATCATCAATTGAATATTCCGATAGACCACCTGGTACATTTGAACTGGAATATGTGTTGGCTTCATTGATATTTACAGCAAATAATTCTGTAATGTAAAAAGAACAAAATAATATATATATATATATATATATATATATATTTAAGCAGTCGTCTATGAATTTTCTAAGCTTAAATATAACTGTGAAACATTTAGATTGCTTGAATTGTACATATATATATATATATATATATATATATATATATATATATATGTAACAAATGTAACAAAACAGTGGAATGTTCACGAATTATTGATCATTAAATGATGATTAGAGTGATATTTTAATGTTCAACGATAATGAAAATCTGTCAACTGGGTTTTAAAACTTGATAACTAATTGAATTTGATGTTGTCAGAGAATAAATATAGATAACCAGTGGGATATTAAGGTTTCATGTCTTATGCTTAATTTTATCTAATAGAACATAACAATTAGAAGGACAGTGAAATTATCAAAATGTCATGAGTTTGAATTAATCCAGAATATTTTTGCTTGAATTCGGATAAAAAATCTGATTAAGATAGAGTTGCCGTGGAATTTATTCAATATGGAATTATGTTTCATCGGTGCGATATCAACAAAAATATTATATTGACGACTTGAGAACACTTAACAGATGCCTCGTCCTAGTTTGGGACTTCTTGTCCGTGAGTATTAACAAAATTAGGAACTTTGAGATATTGCTTAGAACAATATAACATCTAGATTATTAAGTTGGAATCGATTGTATACGCATTTCTAAATTCAATCAACATTTGCTAAGAGATCATTTATCACTCATCGACCAGTTAGTTTTGTATAGTCTTCTTACCATAAAGACTGGTTTCGTTCTTTTTACATCTGAAACATTGATTCTCAGCATAGTTCAAGGTGATTTAATTATGTATTATTCTCGATGTCATAAAACTGGTTAGTTCAAATTCTGGGTCTCCTATACATATTAGTCGTTAACCGAAGCTTTAGAGATGTTTTTATTCCCAAAGCGAAACATATGAATTCAAATGGTAGATGGGTGATATCTCTAGATGTTACTTCCTTGTTTACTAGTATACCATTAATTGAGATAATTGAATTTGAGTATCAGCAGCTACTTAAAAAACAAATTAGTATTACGAGATCTGATACTAGTTTGGAAGAATTACTTTTGAAATGTACAGTGAACGTTCATTTTGTCCTTAATAACACATATTCTAGGCGAATTGATGGAATAACAATGGGTTCATTTCTAGGTTCGAACCTTGCTGAATTTTTTCTCACAAAACTAGAAAACTGACCTCTCAAGGAGGTTACGGATAAGCTTGACTTTTATCGCTGTTACATTGGTAATACTTTCATGATCGTCGATCAGAACATTGGAAAAGAAAATATTTTAGGGCGGTTTATTAACACACGCTCAGGAATCAGATTTATGTATGAGGAGGAACTTGATAACAAATTACATTTCCTCGACGTTTTTGTAAGACGACAAAAAATAAACATTTCTATCAATAGTACTGCGTATAAAAATGCTTTTTCCAGCAAGCCAGTACACAAACTTCTCGAGCTTTGCACCCATTTATTACAAGCAAAGCCTAGTAAGATGCCATGTAGTTAGAGCTAGGAAGATATGCTTATATCTGTCGACATGAGTAGCATGTGACACCGATTGAAAGTGAAAAACATAGCAGTAGAAGGCTAAGAAGATCGAATTGAAAAGAATAGAAAGGAATTGCAAACTTAAAGAACTATACATAATGTGGAGGGAAAATGATGGAAATTTGCAAATGAAGTACTCAGTGTATGGTTCGCATATTTTATGAAGACATTCTATAATTTTGCATGAAATAATAAAAATTTGGTTGTCCCCACCTCAGTTTCGTTCATTATAGTGTAACAAATGTTTCAGACTATACTTCACAGTTTCAATCGAAATAAAAGTTGAATTTATCACCAAATTTCTAATTGCCAGGAAAGATGGATAATGGCTAGCAGTGGAATCCAGTTTGACGCGCGTTTCGTCCTATTTGGGACTCGTCAGCCGGACGTAACTGCATCTCAGAGTTGATGTTCACTCTGAAACTCGAACCCGGTACCGTTCACTTCAAACACCATCGCGTTATCCACTTAGCTACTGAGTTCTGACAGCCACATGCTTGTGCAATCGAGTGAGGTTTAAATTCACTTGGTATTGGATCTTCCGATTGATGTTCAGGACTGTAATTGATCAGTCTCTTGTTGTCATATGTGCGTCACATGCAGATTGCCTCGATATTGTCTAAATTCTCAAGCAGTCCTAAACATCAATGAAAAGATTCAAGTTAACAATACCAAGCGAATTTAAAATTTGTAGTTGTTTCGCAACCTCACTTTGTAAAAAATTTATAGATACACAAGCAGCTTAAGTAAATTGTTTGACATTAGGTATCTCCACATATTTACGTTCCATATTTGTTCCTGTCAAAAGATGACATAATGAAGTATCATATATAAAACTATTCGAATGCAACAGTTATTTATACACAATGAATATTTAGGAATACATAATTACCATAGATGGTGTGACTATAATTTACGGATGAACCAATCGGATTCAGGATAACAGGTCTTAGATTTTGGCGCGAAATTCATTCACCCATTCGGCTGAACAGCGTTTTAGCATTTTAGCTGGTGTTAGTTCGTGATGAAAATTCTAAATCTAATTCCTAAACCTAACCATCAACAGTAAATTACAACCATTATTCTTCACACAGGTTTATAACCATCATTTAGCCCTAATAAGTATTTGATTACAATGGCTTGACATTTGTCGATTTGAGAAATTATAATAATAATAAGTTATTGTAGAAGTTGAAAAACTGACTTCCTAAAATACTAGATTTCCAATATGTAAATTTATTCTAGAGAAAAGGGTATCTGATTAACTTAGAATTGGATATCTTAATTCAACACTTAATTGTATTAGAGATACATACATACTACATGCATACTACACACATGCTACATGCATACATACTATATGCATACTTATACATGAATGTTAACTTGATGAATCACCAAACTGATAGATTGCATAAAACTTTTTACCGCCAATGTACAATTTTTGCTTGTGGTTTTCTTTTTGGTTTAACCACATAAAAAAACCATTGCTAATTTTTGGTCAAATATTTGTGTTAGCAAAGAAATGATATATTTTGTTATATAAATATTGGTATGTAAGTATTTTCATCCTTTTCATTAAGCTCACTTCGCTACACTGTTTGAAGGGAGAATGGATAACATGAAGAAATAAGATATATTTGTTTGTTTTATCACTTTGTTACTACACCCACTGTTATGTATAAATGTTTTGTTTGCTCTTTCACAGTAGTGAGCTTTACTTTTCATTGAAGTAAAGATATTATGGGTTAGCTGATTTTTTGACAGATTACAAATCACTAACTATTAAATCAATATTTTTACAACGCTAGGTAAGACTTTATAGACCTAATTCAGGACACTCCAGTTCGACGGTGAGTATGGTGCCTTCAGATCACTGTGCCAACATTTAATTGTCGAAATTTCGGTCTCATTTAGTTCTTAATATCATGCGGTTATCATGTATTCCAATCGTCGATAACTATCTGATCTGTGATACGTTTAGACTCTATCTGACATGACTACGTACAAGAACTTCCAGTATCTGTCTTAAAGTTATTCACTGTCAAATATATGAATACGACGCTTAGAGAAGTCGTGGGAACATAATTCTGAAGAGCAGAATTCATGGACAGAACAATCATACAATGGTTCCTGGTTCATATTGGTTGTCTAGTTAAAGTTAGTTTGCGCTGTGAGTTATCTTAGGGCTAAAATAATGCTTGTTAGAAATATCATTGGCTATTCACAAGGGTACAAATAAATTACAAATCTGAATTAAGAAAATCGAAGTGAGACATTGAAACCACTTCAGTAGTCAACATCAGATTTTGATTGAACATTTGATCTTTTAGTTTCATATATTTCAGCTAACGCCATCAATATATCTTCCGTAGTTATCTACTGAACTGGTGACCGGGAGGAAACGAGATATTATTTCTAATATCCACTAGTAATGCTTAAATCATGATTAGTCCAATGCTGAAAAAGATTAAGTCTATCCTATCCATCAATTGCCTCATCATATCTCAGAGAAACAATGAATAAACACCTGATGAAAAATGTCTTGTACACACCTATGTTGCACGACTTGTTATGTAACACAATTGTTTTCGAGACATTTTTATTAGGTGGTTATTCAGTTTGTCTCCGAGTTATGATGAAATAAAGTTACATATTTGAATAAATTGAGCATTAATAAGTTTGAATTCTGAGAATAGCGTCGATTTCTTGATTATTTTCGATTGGGATTACTAACAAGTTTATCTTAGTATTTATTATAGTTACATAGCTTTCCACTGATCAACTTTAACCATTTTATATCAATATATATATATATATATATATATATATATATATATATATATATGCACTTGTATAACCACATCTAGATCATTCGTTGATCTCAATCACGGAAATTAATAATTAATTTAAAATTACAGTGATATACTTTGATAAAACAAGTTGAGCAATTTCGGATACAAAATATACGAATCATTTAATATTGAACTAAGATGATGTAACTATGTTTATATTTGTTGCAAAGTACCATTTTACTATTACCCTAATCTTTGTAAAAAAAGAAAAGAAACCAAAATACATCTTTTTGTTTATTTATGTACAAACGTATATGCTATTCATAGATAACAGTTATAATGTTGATTATAAACAACAGAGAAGAAAATAATGTTAAATTAATAACTACGTTTTCTTTATATTCTACTGTTGTTATTATATACCCTATAAATTATGTGCAAGATTTGTATGTACGAACTAAGAATAGTACTTTTTATTATACTATACAAATTGTGGTTTATTTTTGTAATTAAACAAAATCCCCCAGGTACAGCTATTTGCTTTATTGTACAAATGCCAGCAAACAAAATACATTTATACGAATAAGATAGTGTACATATGTTTACATTCTTGT